GTTAAAGTATATATACATCTTCTGGGGGACACCCTGTATTTAGAACATCTTTTTATGTCATTAAATATCCCTTCATCCCTTCTTTGTATTTTTATTGTATGGCTGTACCATGGTTATTACCTTTGAAAAATTACTATTATAGCAATATGTGATGAATGTCTTAGCTAAATTTTTTATACATTCCTTGACATTTCATTTGAGTAACTGTTCTAGAAATATAATTTCTGAATCAAAAGGTGAAACATGTTCTTTCACTGTGCATGAGAGAGCCTAATATTCCCATTCTTACCTTCACTGAGTACATTTTACAAATCCTCAATTGTATAGGTAGGGAAAACCATCTCATCATTTTAATTTGCATTTCTTTGATAACTGTCAAGGTTGAACATTTCCTTACGTGTTATTTACTGATCATATTTCTTCCTTTTTATTGGTTTTATCTTTCTGTTCTTTGCCTATTTTCTGTTAGAATAATAATCTTTATCTTATTAATTGTAAGAACTCTTACTAAATTAGCTCAGTTAACTCTCTGTCTTATATGTGGTAAATATTGTCCTGGTTTTGTCTTTTTCTGTCTTTGAGGATAGTTCAGAATGTCTTTTCATGAAAAGGAATTTTCAGGTTTTACATACATTTTCTTCATTTATAATTTTTGCCACCAGAAATTAACAAGGCCTTCTTTACTCCAAGATCATTTAATACTTATTGTATTTTCTTTACTGTCATAGTTTTTGGAGTGTGATATTTCTTCAAAGTCTGCCACAAGGGGGATTTGGCTGTGGCCTTTAGAAAAACAACAGTACAGCCTCACTAAATGCAGACTGGTCATTTGGTAAAACTACTAAGAGTATCCTGGGAAGAGGAAGAGAGAGATCTTATATGTTTATTCTTCACCAATTACTTATACTGCATCCAGTAGCTTCATTAACCAGCTCTTTCAGTGAAAGAAGTTTAAAATTGGGGGGGGCGGGGAGGGGAGTTAACATAAGGTTTATGTTTTCCTATTAAACCTCTTGGATTTGATGACTTCTCACCTGGCCAGAACAGAAGCTTCCAATGGCAAAGACCTTTGTTTTGTTCACATGGTACATAGCATGCATTCGATAGATATGTGTTGGAGGAGCTGATATTTAGTCAAGTAGGGTTGTGTGCAGGCTATGTGTTGGGCAGGAGAGCTGGGGTAATGAGTTCTGGGCTTCACTGCTTTTCATTAAGGAGGTGCAAAGTTTTTAAAAACACACACACACACAAAACCTCCAAATGGAGGCAGTCAGTAAATTTCAGTTTTACTTTTTAGTTGACTGTAGAGATATTGATCTGAATGTAAAGGTGAAAGTGCCTCAAACCTGGCACAGTAGGATATGGTGCCGAATACTGGAAACTATTCAGAGAAGAAAATTCTGTTGGGCAGATTTTAAGCAGAAACAGTGGCATCCACCCATCAAGAGAAATAAGAGACACCACTCTACTCCACTTCATGCTATGGCATTTGTCCAAAGCAATAACAATCAGATCTGGCTTTATTTGAACATAACAAGGAAGAAACAGTTTTCAGGAAGATTCATTTTCACTGTGGGAAGGGGAAGAGGAGCATTCTCTGTAATAACAGAAAAATCAATTATTTTTCAATCAGATGAAGTGTCCTCATAAATTCAAGGCAGAGAACGCCATGTGATATGCCTTCATGGAAACGAGGACCACAAGGGAAAGAGTTTAGGATCCTACTTCCAAGGTTGCTGTTAGGAAGAGAGATTTTCCAAGAGTGGAACTCTGCCCGTGTTTGTGTGGGTTTGTTAGCTTACATCGTGGTATGTAACGAATGCACCTCATCCTGCCCAATTTGCCTCTCCCAAACCCCATCTTGTCCAACCTGCCTCCCAGTTGGCCATGATTTTTTAAATAACACACTAAAATCCTCTCTTTACAGCATAATAACAAACAGACCCCAAACAATCCTTCTTACTAGCAAAAATTCACAATATATTACATGTGTAATGTAATATATTTATATATATTAACAAGGGAATGACCAAGAAAGTAGAAAGATGAAGACTTTTGACAAAATTTAAAGTTACATCCTAATGAGAAAGTTTTTAATCAATATGAAGATTGGAAAGTCAGCTCCTGAAAAAAGATCTAAGGAGAGTATGGAAGTTGGAAAGATGGTCTTCAAGTCTGTGTAAGGGCCAGGGAGAATGAGCACCCAGGAAAAATTTGTGCACCACAATTTCTTTCACATGTAAGACTAGAACCCAAAGCCCATACTGTACAACCCTTAAAGTCCATTTACAATATTAAAAAGGTGAATAACTAGGAAGGCATCTACTCTGTATAAACCTTATGTGCTGGAAATCAAACTGACATGCCCCGTGCACACTGGCCTTAGGGAATGACACAAGATTCCTGAGAAGCACTGCGCCCAGGGGATGCCCTCACTCTGTTCTCTGCCAGCACACAGGCACCAGCATGCCGGTGTCTGAGGGCCGAAGCTGCAGCCCTTCCAGGTGTGTTCTCACACCCTGACAAAGACAGAAGTTCAAGGGCAGCAGTTCACTGACTGTCAGGTTAGCCCTTTTAAAGGAGTCAAACTGCCAACCCCTTGTGCCATGAAGCCATGCCTGTGTTTTTTAGAGGTGTCGTCTCTGATTGACTCCAAAGGGAGCTGTCAATGCCGGGGATCCAAGGTGCCCTGGCACTTTCACAGGAATCACACTGAACCCCAGAACGCTGCGACCACCCCCCATCCCGACACCTCCCAAACTGAAGTGTCCCATCAGCTAGCTGGGGCTTGGGAAGGAAGGAGAGTTATTACAGTGTACCTCCAGGGAAGTGGAAAGTGCACAATTCGAAGGTCTCTAACTTTCTAGGAACAAATCTCCCTAGAAAATCAATCATTCCCACAAAAACATTTCCTACATTCTAACTTACACACTCTAATTGATGAGATGATTCTCTAGTTTTATTTGTGCCAAGAAGATGTTTCCTTCCCTAGTCTGTGTTGAATGCCAAGAGAACCATAAGGAAAAATGCTGACCTGTGATGGTTACACATCATGCTAATCACCACTTTAAGTTAAAATACTGTAATATAAAATAACGCACTCGCTGGGCCACTCGGGCAGAACATAACTTCCCAAGCCACAGACACACCTACTGAGACACTTGAAATGGCTAAGGAGTCTGGTTCCCAGCTGTGTGGCAAGAGCCAAACCATGACATCAAGTCTTGAGTTGCCCTGGAGAAATGTAGGGCAGGGCTGTCATACTACATCGTGCTTGCTAATCAGAGCCTTCCCAAGAGTTGTCTTAGTTTCTCAGTACACCAAACTCTAGCAGAAGTCGTGGTTTGCAATGGCCACAATGATGAAACTCCTCTCATTCGCAACCTTCAATCATGATCTTCCAGTATTCCAACAGCTCACTTCTCAAAGACTGCTTAAAGTAAGTATTTAAGCTGGTGTGTGTGCGCGCACAAGGTTTCCTTCTCTTTGGCTTGGCTCAGTTAAATGGAAACCTCTCAAAAAATAATTGCTTATTTTTTCCTGGTCTCTTCAGATGGGGTAAAGCAGCAGACACTGAGTAGGCCAAACAAATGGCTATGAGAAAAATTTCCCCTGGAAAGGGGTACTTAGTAAAAGAATCTCAATACGGTAAATACGCTTTCTAAAAGCCTAGGGATTCCATAATACCTTTGTAAGAGCAAATCATGTAAAAGCACTGTCCAACTCTCACAACCCAGAGATAAGGTGATAAGGTAGCTCTTTTGCAGGCCTCCGAAATGTCTCTCCCTGATTTAAATCCTTCACTCGCTCTCAGAACGGAACCCCTCCCTCCTTCTCCAGCTCCTATCTGCCATCTTCCACCAGTGCGGTAGTTCTGAGCCAGGGCTGTTTTTGTCCTCGCAAGGGGGACACTTTTGGTTATCACAACTGACGTAAGGAGAGGGGGATGCTACTAAATGTACTCCCGGGCAGAACACAGCCTCTCAGACACGGAGAATTACCTGGTCCTAATGTCCGCAGTGTTGAGGCTGAGACATTCTGCCCTAGTTGTTCTGCCCTCTTTGTTCTCTAAACATGCCAGACTTTCTCATATGCTTCTGACCCTAAACAGGTTGTTTCCTTTACCTGCCCTACTTCTAAGTCCAAAGAAATGACCATTTATCATCCAGGATCCAATTCAAAATGTCACCTCCTCTATTCTGCCCTTTCCAGGTCCCCAAGAATCAGATGTGCCTTCGTCTGCACCTCCAGAGCTTCTGGTACAAGCTGCATTAGAACACCAGCCACTCTGCCCCCAAATGATCTGTCACCTGCTGAAGGCCCCATTCAGCGTTCGCCTCCAGAGTGCCCACCTGGTACTCAGTCACTGCTTGCCGAACCAATCAGGGAATTAATGGAAATGTTGCAGAGGCACCGAAGACTCTTTAGCAACAATGACTAAGGGATAACAGTGTCCCCAATATAAAAAAAAACCCAGCAAATATTTAATCAAATGCTTGCAATGTGGACAGGCACATATATTAAGCACTGGTGCACATATGAACTCATTTCGTACATACGACAGGGAGGTAGGAGCCATTATCAGCAATATTTTGCAAATGGGGAAACTGAGGCACAGAGAACCATAACACTTGTCCAAGGTCACTGACGCTAGCATCTGAAAGAGCTGATCTTTAAACACAGGTAGTTTCATTCCAGAGTCTTAATCTTCCAATATTCATGTCAAGACAGTAATACTAATAACCAATACTTTGCAACTTAGAGGCCACGGGCAAACACAAGTGACACCTCCAGAGGACTGTACCGCCATAGAGTAGCCACCAGCTCCTATGACCCTGGACTGTAAGCATTGCTTTCTCAGGTCACACACTCTCCAATCTCTGGAATGCTTTGGGCAAGAGAAGTAATCTCCTCACAACATAGAAAGACACTATGTACCCAGAAAACATCATGATACCACAAAGAAGAGACAAGTGATGATTCCTCAAAGAACATCTTACCTTGTTCATGCTGCAGGGCCTGAAGTGAGGGATCAGGCATGTCACAATGCGAGGCTGTCCCTGAAGATTCTCCTTGTTCCCGCAGACCTCCCTTCCTGAAGCAGGCAGCTGCACTGCGAACACAGACAAAGGAGATCCATAAGCTGGTGCCCAGAAAGGCACAGAGCAGTCCTGTGTCCAATGAGACTTTTTGCCGTGATGGCAATGCTCCATGACCACTATGGCCACAGGTGGCTACCAAGCACTGGAAACGTGGCTAGTGCATAGGGGAATGGAATCGATTCTACGGAATTTTAATGAAATTTAAAGGTAAACAGCCACATGTAGTTAGTGGCTACCATACTGGATGGTGCAGGTCTACAGAGTCAAATCAAGAGTCTTAAGGCCACGGATACTGAGCATACCAGTGGCCAAGGAAAAGCTGCATATTATATGCACAGAGAGACCGCAGATACACAGAGACAAGAACACTCATTCATTCAATAACTTTTTTCTGAGTACTTATTAGGTGTGGGCACTGCCAGAGAAGTCAGCTATTTAAGAGTTTGTAGTTCAGGCTTTGACTTCCTTAGGAAGGGAAAGGATCTAGTATGTGAGCAGCACCTACTGTGTACCTTGCCCTACTGCCCACAAAACCTAAAGGAACGGCCAGGTATTTGCTGGAGCCTGACTGTATCGTTGCCAAGATGAACAGATAACAGAATCTTCCACAGAGCTCCTTGGGAGGCAGCATCCCATCAGGCAAATCAGGGCGGCAGTTTTCCAAGGGCCAAGTGAACCAGACGATCCAGTTCCCTCTCAAATGGAATAAGGGTCCACGTTTTTATCCATGCTGTTGGTTAATTAGGTAGGTTTTTTAATTTACTTGAATTAAATTTTAGGGTAAAACAGTTATTGTATGTGTTAGGGTCGCCGAAGGAGGAACGCACAAGGCCAAAGTGGTAGAGAAATTCTCTGGGTGGGTCCTGAGGGAAAGATAATGGTCTTAGCAAGTGGGATGTGGTCTAAGCCAAAGGGCATGTTGGGTGAAGTGGTCTAAAGGTCAGTTTCCAAGGGAGGGGGAATTTATTCAATTATTTGATCAGACCTGACAGTATGATTCCAGGGTTCTTAATTTGTCAAACATTAAGGAAAATAATTAATACAATAATAAATAAAATATCTTTGACTATGTAACTAGACTTGTAGCCATTTTCGTTGAAAAATATTTTATGGTTGGATTTGAGAGGAGAATACAACACTATAAGGTTCCTTATAATCACCTTATTACTGTTATTTTTTTAAGACTGCATCTATCTGAACCTTTCCATAAACACTGGAATTGGAGGTTTGAATGGAACTACAGTGCTTTAAAAAATCTATTCTTTTTAATTATAATATAATAACAATATTGGAAATGTTCAATAGGAAAAGGAAAAAAGACTCATAATCTCACTGGCTCACCATAATCACCTCTAGTTTTTAGCAATCATCCTTGCTCTGTTGGAGAACGGTTTGAGGCCCGTGCACATCTGCTAACGGAGTCAAGGACACAGAGAGGTCAAAGATATTAATATCTTTCATCATTAAGAAAATAATTTTGCAGTTTAGATTTTCAAAAGATAAACTTCTAATCTGCACATTACTATTCTGTGAGCATATTATTATTGAATTCCTTTTATAAATAAGACAGGGACAGAAAATTGCAGGTCACTCGCTGGCTATTTGAGACACATAGAATCCAAAGAAAATGCCCCATTCAGTCATAGCAATAACATTTTTAACAATGATGTACAACATGGGAGAGACCCTGGAATTTCACTTTGTAGCTTAAATGCATCTAAACTCCCCTTTATGCAAATGATGCCATTGTTTCAAAATCAAGAAAATTCAATATCTAATTCTAACCAGACTTAAATTGACTGACAAAATATTATGCTTTTACTCTTAATTTTCCAGAAGCAGATGTTAATGAATTTCTGCATTTTAAAGTAGAACTTCATAAATGTTGTTTCCTTTTAAATATATGTATTTGATTCACTTAAAAGCTATGGCCCAGCAAGTAACTGGGAAGTTTGTCCAAAAGCCTTGTAGAGATGCCTGTTGTCAGAATTCCATTCAAATGTACACATTGGTATCAACACAGGAAAGGTGGGCACACGAAGATAATAATAAACAGACAAGAATTCTTGGAATAATTTCCCCAAGGAAATTCCACCCAGCTCCAAGGATGCCACAATCCCCATGCCCTCAGAACATGGGTATATAGATTGCACTAAACTAATTATGGATCCTTCTCCTTGCCCCTCCACACCACACCAAGTGTTCTTAGGTCATTTTCATGTTTGTTGGTCCTATGTCAAAGTCAAGACTAAAAAACTCAGACTAATATTGAGGGCAATATTAGGTCACATATAAATTCCTCAATAAATATTATGAATAGATTTTTTTCTTTGCTCTCACAGAGCCTAAGATGATGTAGATGCTTCATGTAGATCTTCAAAACAATGTTGATTATCATTGCAGATTGCCTTCAGGTTTCTTTTTAAAGGCAAATCTTTTAATGTCCAGGATGGTAAAACTTTTAAAGAATATTAAGAATATCTTACAGCTGTACAGTGCTCGAAATTGTATAATGCACTTTATCAATTAGTACTGATATCAATCTGAGTGGTAGTTTTCTTAATTAAGAAGCTAGATACATGGAGGGGAGCAAAAAGGGAGAAAATGAGATACATCTGTAATACTGTCAACAATAAAATTAAAAATAGGGACAATAAGCTAGTTTTAGAATAACAAACTTTTGTTCCCTCATACAAACTTATATCTCATAGATCAGTTTTCATGCCTTTTTTAATACACAGTAACTTTTCTTTTCAATTCTACATTAAAGTGTAATCTTTTTGATGTTACTTTAAGTTAATCTAATGGACTCAAATTTAAATATAAATGTTTATGGTACTCTGCAAACAACTCAACCAAAGTGAAGATGATAGAAATTTCTGTACAGGGCTAAATTTCTATGTACATATAAAATGGTAACCATGTAAAAGTTTCTTTTGATGCATAATTCTTATGGGCAGTAGGCAATTTCAGTCATTAAAATGTAAAAAGGGGGGAAAATCCTGCAAAGATACAAAAAAAAGGAGCTAGATACAGAGAGGAAAAAGAATTCTTAGTCATGCTGGAATAGACACTGGGCTAGAAATGACTTCAAGATACTATAGAATTAAAATATGTACAAAGACTACACATAAAAAACCTTTCCCAATCACACATACACACACACACACACACACACACACACACACACACACACACTCAAAGACAACCATTAACAGAAACACATCAGTGAACAGATGACAGTTTTAGAAAATGGGTCAGTTCGCTTCTGGACAGCAACCTAAAAGACTGGCCTTGTTCGACCAAGTACTTTCAATCTCCTTTGAAACAGACAGAACCTGCTTGTTTTGCAGCCAATTCAGTTTATGAAGAAGCTTCCAGAAATACACAGCTTAAAAAAGAATTTAAATTAAAAACAATAACAATATAGCACACACACACACACACACGGAAACTGCATCTTAAAAATAAAGCATTAAGGAAAAAGATATCTGAGTTACCATGATGTAATTAAGGAAGTTTTTCTTATTAGTCTGTTTTTCAGTGTTTCTTTTTAATCGTCTATGAAGTTGAATTCTTCTGATACTAAACAAAAACACAAGAAGTACTGACGCCTTTGAAGGGTGTCTGGAGAAAGTCAACCCACACAAGCTAACATGTGACTTCCACTCAGTTGGTCCTAGCAGATTTGGTTCAATGGGCAATGAAGCCTGTGGTCAAATCAACCTTACACTTCTAAAAGATTAATGAAATGTCATTCATGTTTCCCGGTGGGTAGAAGCAGGAAGGTGGAGACAGGGTAAGTGTAAGAAGAGACCATCAAGAGAATGAAAAGAAAAGATAAAGGCTACAAAGAAAGGAGAAAACTAAAGGGCAGATAAGTAAACAGATACCTAGAGACAGTTCAGTGCTGTGGCCAAGTGCCCCTCAGCCGCAAGGTCCTCACTATGGAAAGGATCGAGAGATTCGGGCTCCTGGTGACAACACCACATCCTATGGCTTCTCTATATTATACCCTTCCGTGGACCGGGTGTCAGCAAGTGGGAGCTGAAGTAAAGTTAAGACTGGGCCTACCTGTTTCACCACTATTTATTTACCACCAACCTCCACCTACCGCAGAGAAGTCTATTTTACCTGGATCACTGCTAATGTGGTACAGAGGTATAAGCCAACTTTATTCTCCTCCCTCTAAAGAGAAGCTTAAAGCTGTCACAGAGCTGTTTTATTTGTGTGTGTGTGGATTGTATTATTTCTTGGCCCTTGAAAATGCAACTAATACCTATTGCCAATATAAAATGAAATATAATGAGTTGGGCTTTTTCCCCACTCCAAATCCCTCATCCCCTTCCAAGATGTTCATTCTAGAAGTCTGTTGTAATACAATTCAAAGTAGGTAGCTTAGGCAGTCCTATGGGGAAAAAGCCAACAAGAGTGGGCAGGTCACTCCTCACAGTATTAAAGGTCTTGCTGGCTTTTAGATATAATACATCCTGAGGTCACTCCCCTCCCCACCACCAAATCCAGCAGCCTAAGCAGAGGACCCAAGAGTTTGTGGAGAAAAAATAAAGTTATAAAAAGACAAAAAGGCTTTGAAGAGAAAGGGAGAGAAGGCAAGATGATAAGAGTTTAGAAGAAATTCTCCAAATCAAGGACTTAGGAGCTTAGAAAATCAGATGAACAGATGAGAGAAAGAACCCTAATGTCCTCCACCCTGTTTTCATGGGTTGGAGTAATTCATGTGTCCCTGAAGTACTGACAACCTTCACCTGGAATCCTTGTGCAAGACCGGATAAATGTAAGACTATTTAATTACTGACAGGCCAATCCTTCCCTTCCACAATAAGGGGCATGCTGCTCCTTATTAAATGATCCTGTCCCCTACCCGAAATGCACATAACCTCTCCAAGTGATGGCTCCTTCCTTTCTTTCTGAAGAAGAGCAGGAGGGACCGGAGCAGCTCTTTCTCTATCCTCAAAGTTGCAGCAGACATGTGGCTCTGGTTCTTCAGGAC